TCAATACCAAGAGGAGATGCGCATATCGTCAGCTTTTTCCGGTCAGACACTTTAAGCCAGAGTTATGGCCCTTGATTAATTATGCCATATGCATATGGAGTAAAAATCGTTTCCGCGCTACTTTTCTGTAACTACTGGCTGGAATTCAACGAAACTTTATGGGAATCTTCATTACCAAGAGGAGATGCGCATATCATTGCCTTGTTCCGGTCAGACACTTTAACTCAGAGTTATGGCCCATGATTAGTAATGCAGTATGCATATAGAGAAAAAATCGATACCGCGCTACTTCTCTGCAACTACTGGCTGGAATTCAATGAAACCTTATGGGAACCTTCAATACCAAGAGAAGATGCGCATATCATTGCCTTGTTGGGGTCAGACACTTTAACTCAGAGTTATGGCCCTTGATTAGTTATGCAGTATCCATATAGAAAAATATTCGTTTCCTCATTACTTCTCTGCAACTACTGGCTGGAATTCATTGAAACTTTATTTGAACCTTCAATACGAAGAGGAAATGCGCATATTGTCACCTTGTTCGGGTCAGACTTTTTAACTTAGAGTTATGACCCTTGATAAATTAGGCAGTATACAACCAGAGCAATAATCGTTTCCGTGCTACTTCTCTGTAAGTACTGGCTGGAATTCATTGAAACTTTATGGGATACTAAGAGGAGATGTGCATATATTTATCAGGTTCAAAGAATATTACTGTTTATGCCATGATTATTATATAAAGAAAGCCTTATGTCTTCAGTTGTTGTGTTAATAATGACCAGTACTCGGCGGGGGATATAAATTCAACGAATTTGCTTGTTTCTACTTGTTATGTTATTGATGTAATACAATGGACTTTGAAATTTGTAAAATGTTTTTGTTTGCTTGTTTTGATATAATGAGTGTGTGACTGTTCCATAATAAAAAAAATGTACAGAATTGATCTTTTAATTATATATTTGTTTGCCCGACTCTTACAGAACTAAATAAGGGCATAAAACCTGTTGAAACTTTACTTCCCAATTTTATCTCATTTATAAAGACAAAGCTCTTAGTACATTAATAGCGTCAAGCATAACTCTGTGTACAATATATGCACAGTACTACGAATGAGGCCCTGTCTCGTAAAATAACGTGTGAGACAAAACACAATCATTAGTAATGGAACTGCAATTGGAACAATTTCCGTATAACATGTTAGGAATGGAACTGCAATTGGAACAATTTCCGTATAACATGTTAGGAATGGAACTGCAATTGGAACAGTTTCCATATTACATAACATCAACAAGTCTGTAAAATACATAGCTATATGATATATCCAAAGTGTTAACCAATAATATTTGAAGTTATATATGACGATATACAAATTCTTCCAATTTGAAAATAAGTTGTTACTGCACGGGATATGATCCCAATATCCTCCTTATTGTATATAAAATAAAGCTGTATGTTATTATTTGATCCGGGTGCGTTATATGCTAGATAGAGAAAACAGAATTCCTAGAGTAACCCTCACCAGTCCTGGTGAAATTGCCTACTTTTTCTGTTGGTGATTAGATTAAATTGAAAACTGGTTAAAGAATCTGGACAAAGTGTGATCCCTCGGAAGCATAAATCACAATATAAATACATGGAAATTGCAGACACGGTTTGATTTGGGCTGTATATGGGGGATAATGCAAAAGTGCCCCATAGCGCTTACTTGAACGGCACTTAATTTTCAATACTTAAAAGTGTTGGAATCAATGGTCTCGAAGGTAAAAAACAACAACATTGTAATACTACTGCTGTTGTGTAGTATAATAATCTCCACAAAGTATAAATTTCGGAAGCATGAATCACAACACATTTGAAATAATGAAAAATTTCAACATCTCTCACGCCTCCTGGCACCGGCTTGAGCGGTACTCAGTTTGCAACACTTTAAAGTGTTGGAATCAAGTTATACCAAGTTAGAATCAAGTTATATAATCATCATTATATCATCATTGTTATTATATCTGGAGAAACATGCACTGGCCGCTATATAGACCACTTAAAGATTGGTTTATGGTAGGTCCGGTTAAAGTGTTTATTTCATGATATGACATAAATACCTTGTCACATATATACTATACAATTTAATATTATTAAGAAAGCACTGACATAGATTAGACTGAATAGATTATTTATTACATGCTTTTCGGTGGTTTATAGAAATATATCAGTAATACAAAACTGGTAATTTCAGTGTTTGAAACAGTGAAATTACCACTTTGATAATTTCACTGTTTTGAATTGAAGCCCCTTACGTTGTTTTAGTGAAATACCAGCGTGCACAGTACTGGGTACCAACTTAATGATGTGACGTCACGTTGTATTATTATTTGGCGCGCTTTTCATTCAGTATTAGGTTAAATGTCTTTTTAAAACTTTTCTTTGCATATAATAAAAAGAACCTTGTAAACACCAAAAGTTCATATTTAACTCGTGGCTGCGCCACTCGTGAAATATACCTTTTGGTGCTCACTCGGTGAAATATATTCCGATCTTACACTGAACTAAGCAAATATCCTCTATATATTGTGCATTTGAATTGGGGTTCTAAAGGCGATAAAAACGAATAAATTATACAATTCATGGGAGACTAATACTGTTCTTCTATGTATCAAAATAAGAATGATTTCCCCTAGTTTGTGTACACATAATAATCATTAATTTGGTAATACAATTTGAGGGAGACTAATTGCTTTACAAGGGTAAATTCCCTTTGATCATAAATCAGATAGCAATACATTTTGAAAATAAAGCGGCTATAAATTGATCACATGAATGGGTGTAACATTTTAAAAGGTTACGTTCGTTACCGTAAATACATCTTTGCACTAATTACTATACCTATACCTGTTATAAAGGACAAAGGGACACCTGAGGTCTTCCTCAATCAACAGAGCTGCAAAGTCTCTTTGTGATCTATTAAAAATGGCGTTTTTCTTTTAAGGAAAGGCCTACATCGACTGAACCAGTAATAGGAAATGCAGCTTTCGAAACACAATTTTTAGCATTCTCTTGTTAAAAACAGACATAAACCTTGGCAAGAATTAAACGTTTTTTACCCAAAGATGAGTCTATTATATCTTCAAGTTTTCTGAAACCGACCTCTGATCATTTAACCTGGAATTGCAAATGATATTAAGTTTGCAGATGTAATTATTTTCCTATTCTTTATTCTAAGTTGAAAACTGTTTGTGTTCATTAAAACAAATGCCCTTTTTTGGGGCGCATAAAAAGTCAAAATGATGATGAAGATATCAGAATGACAATGAAGATATCAAAATAATAATGAAGATAAATGTATCAAAATGATAATGTTGATATTAAAATGATAATGAATATATCAGAATCATAATAAAGATCTCAGATTGATAATCAAGATATCAGTATGAAAAGGAAAATATATCAGAATTACAGTTGGGATATTAGAATGACAATAAAGATATCAGAATGATAATGAAGATGTCAGAATGACAATGGAGATATCAGAATGATAATAAAGATATTAGAATGATAAGGGAAATATCAGAAGGATAATGAAGATATCAGATTGACAACATTTGAACATATCAGAATGGCATGATAGCAGAATGACAAGGAAGATATCATAATGACAATAGAGATATCAGAATGATATGGAAAATATCAGAGCGATAACTATGTATCAGATTGATAATACTTATATATGATTATAAAAATATATATAATTTAGTGTGATAACAAAATAATGATACAATTATTGATAATCAGCATAATATAATTCATGTTAAAAATCCTACCTGTAAATGGTATTATCAAAATGTAAAAAATGTTTCTATGCCAAACACTGCATGGTCAAATATGATATAAAGATGTACAGTACGGCGATCCATATTTCGGTAATTTAAATTTTGAAGATCAACACAACCATGATACAAACAACATTAATTTATTTATTAAAGTGAACGGTAATTTGTTTTTTTTATAGTATATATAGGGGATTTTTTTAAATCGTTATTTTTTTTGTTTTGGATAGAATGTCGGGGTCCTGTGGTTTATAACACATTTTTGTCATTACCTAATATAATATAAAGATGTACATTACGGCGATCCGTATTTCGGTAATTTAAATTTTGAAGATCAACGCAACCATGATACAAACAACATTAATCTATTTATTGAAGTGAACGGTAAGGGGTGACCAACACGTACCGTGATAGTCACAAAGTAATTTTGTCAGATTTACTGGTAGAAGAAGACCTAAGGTGCCCCTCCAAGGATGATTAATTGCACGAACGGGCACTCGAGTAGAACCGTCGGCGTTCCGTATGGTAGTTGTAATAAAACTTCCTCAAACGAAAGAAGCCAAGTCAACGGCATTTAACACTCGGCCACGAATATCCCTATGTATGTGGCGTAAAATAGGCGTGTGTTTACAGATTCTTATTTCATTACCAGAAGCAGGTATATAGCATAGAATAAATTACCTAATCTATGGAATCAAAATTGACCATTGCATGGTAGAGCAGAGATGTCTATTTTTTAATTGCTATTGTTATTTATGTCTCTTAGCAATAAAAAGCCTGAAACAACTGATTGATACCATAAATTCATAGATCTATAATGATCTAGCGATTTGACTAGTTTGCTAGTTTAGGGGAAAAAAAACAAATATGTCTCATATCATATCATTAAAATTATTAACTTTATTTTATACCGTCTTGTATGTAACATATACACTGTAATTCAAAACATCATGTTAACGCCATGTATGGTATATACCTTGTATTTTTTTTACCTTTCAGAAAATAAAGTAAACACGAACTGAAAAGAAATCTATAAAAGTTTATTTAAATTGTTACCTTTTCCTCATTAATTAGAAAATTATAATGTCACAGAAAGAAATGTTTACATTCGCCCTATTCCCGTTTTTTTATTGGTGAGTGTAGGACAATATTTAGTGGTGTTACGCCTTATTTATCACGCATGCGCTGTAAAGTTGAAAAAGTACCAGTATGGCGGAGGTTAGCCCGGGATAATATTTTCTTAAAACTTGATGAGATTCAGGTAAGTATCTTTTAAATGTTGTAGCCTTTATGTAACATATTTTATACTGATACGAAATAATTAGTTTATGAGACAGAAATATGTAATGTGTCAACAAAAAATACAAAAAGTTATCAATTAAAAACGAAAGTGCGAAATAACGTAAAAAAATGGGGAATTCCCACATTAGGCTTATAAATATATTGCAATGTTTTCAAAGGGAAAGACATCTATTTTGCATTTGTAAAGCATGTGTGGGTGTTTTCTGAGTTCATAATTTAGTGAATTCTTTATTAAACTAATTTTATTAGGATATGATTATTTTACAAAAGGTGTTTACGAAAACGAAAGTAGAAATTATAAACCAATTATTAATTATGTTCCTTATGTCAGACCTGAATCTACATCAATCTAACCAATATATAACAATAATCCAACCAGTCTCTAACAATAATCTAACCCATATTTGACAATAGTTTTATCAATTTTTGACCAATCAGACATTGCGAAAAGTGCCATTCAACTGTCGAATTGACTCGAGACGAGGCGGACTGTGATTTATTGTATTAAAACTAGTTGAATTATGATGTTTCTTTGTTTTTCTTTTAATATCATTATAATTTAATTTATACTTATAATTGTGTGGGTCAATAGTTATAATTATAAATATAAAGTTAGATTAATCCACAGTCCGCCTTATGTCGTGTGCACATGATTAATTCATACATACTTTACTTGTAATTAGATCGATGTTTAGATTTTTAAATATCTGTTCAATATGAAAATGCTTATTTATATGACATGTTTAGGATGATAATGTAAATGATAGCTCATACCAATATATATTTATATATAAAAGACTTAAATAACAATATTAAATTTGAAAATATGCATGGTCTGCCGTCTGAACACATTCCGCCCTGTCCCAAAATATGGTCTGCCCCGTCCAAACATACGGTCCGCCCTTGTACGGTCCACCTTGTCCCACTGTCCGCCCTGTTCTACAACCAAACTGGCTTGTCTGGTATAATTTCACTTGGTCTTTGAAATAATTTTCTCTGCTGGTCCGACTGTCATGTAATAATAAAAAGATTTCATGTTCAACTTAGTTTATGACAAAAGAAACAATTTAATGCTTTCCATCAATAATTTATATCAAGAATATAGTCTTATTTAGCAATTAGAATAAATCACAGAATTATTCATTTATAATGTCTATTAGATGGAATGGCTCATATGGAAATGCTTACTTCCGGTGGATTAACCATTAGTTATCGCAACCATTTCAGTTGAGTTGGCGTCATTTCTTTGAATGAGCAAAGCTTAGGAACAAGTCTTCAGACCTTGCTAAAGCTTTCGGAAATATCTTCAAAGGTTGTGAAAACTTTGACTTTCATTGGTCTAGATAACAAATTAACATTTAGTACTGGTTGACCTTATTGCTTCATACCAATAAGAGAAATACCACAGCATGTTTTATAAGTATTCAAGCTAGGTTCAAAATTTAGGGAGAAGTCACTTCTCCCTCCAACTGCTTTAGGGAGAAGTGGGGAGACTTTAGGGAGAAGTGAGGAGATTCATTTATCGATGTTTGTTGTATGTTATCGCAATTATGTTGACTCATTGTACATATCTTATTAAATGAATTGGATTTGTGTTAGTACTGTTACAACAGAATATTCAATTTTAATTTAAAAGTAGTTTGAAACAAGTAATAAGAATGATATCATGTAATGCAACCATTGCATTAAATGAAGATAAAAAAGCCATAGTTGATTCCTATCATGGATCATATCATGGGTGGATTAAAAGTTATTCCCTTCTGATTTACTATTAAAAAGCTTGCGCCGGACATTATATTCATATTCACTTACGTTGTAAAGAAAATGAAAGTAGATAACGAAAGAAACGATCTTTAATTTAACTTCATTTGTAATAAATACAGTGTAATACGCCGTCAATTTTATCAAATTTAACTCGTCGACAAAAAAGGTTATCATAACTTTCATTTAAAATTACCGTTACAGTTATATGTCGAGCGGTCCTCATAATTCTGACAATCATTCGATAGTGAAAATATAATTGACGTTTCATCCGTCCATCATAAATAATTGTTACAGGTATGTTACGGGTATGTTAGCGATTTAATGATTGGTTTAATAATGTCGCCTCGATTAAAACGTGAATTACGATTGGTTTCTCGCACGTATCGGTAATCTCGCCGTGGGCGGAGTCTAATTCGATGCCTTGGTGCGAAAGGGTTGTAACTCATAATTTCACCGAAAATGGTTTTATGGTATTTTTCAATGTAGGAGCAATATACACACATGTTGTAAAAATATTGAACTTGAAAGCTAAAATAAAACTACCAAAAAAGTATATATGTCAAAAGGTTGTAACTCAAACAGACATATTTTGTTGGTGCGAAACGGTTGTAACTTAAGTTACAACCATTTCGCACCAACATTTTGATAATATTTTGAATAAATCCTAGTGCAAAACAGTTGTATCTCAATATCTTATATCATATTCTGTGAAATATTTAGTGGATTATTTCTTTCAAACTAACTGACAAGTTTATAAAACAGTCTCAGCTTCTGATTCCTTGTTATTTACATTATAAATTGGTAAGCTTTCATTCAGACATAATACAAGAATTTGAATAACTTACACATATTTCAAACATAAATAAATTCCAATGCTTGTTAAAGAAACAATATCATAGTACATTGCTTTATTTGACTAACAGTACTGTTGTAGTGATTTTTTTCAACATAAAAATTGTCATTGGTATAATGTTGCATTGTTTGCAAAATAGCAAGTAAAAGTAATGGACTTATTTTGGTTTTACGAAAATGAAATTACCGTAACTCAAAATAAATTTATTATAAATAATTATTGTCATACAATATATTATGATTGTATCATAGTTTGGAGACTTTTGAAAACAAGTCAGAGTTAAATTGCATACCAATACATGCACATTGCTTTAACTCAATGTCAGTCTGGAGCTTGCTTGTTAACTGGTTCATTTTTTCTGGTTTTTACATATTGTGACGACAGGGAAGGAGATAACAGTAGAAAAGTCATATTCAGATGCTTATACATTTGGTACTTTTTTCTTGGATGACTGGGAATGTGTTGTTGTTTTTTTTGCCTAAGATACAAAAGAGAAAGAACATCAAAACAATCGGCAATCTGATTTATACTCTCATACAAATCCGACAGCCTCGTGTTTCGATGCTTTTTTAATTACTAAATATTAAAATAACTTAAAGAAATTATACAATTATTACTCAATTCTTTATTTGGTTTTAAACTTACATGAATTACTTTTATAACTTACATGTATTACTATTGGAATATTTTCATGTTTTGTCAAAGACAAATTGTATAAATTAATATTGTACTACAATTTATTTACGTTACAAGACAATGTCTGACTAGATATGTGGACAAATTTTTCTTTGACAACATATTGTAAACAGTAAGTTTAGATACATATACATATGTATAGACAAAAGTATTACAATATATTCTAAAACGACCCACATTTTTCCCTATTGAACATAGAAAAACCGAAAGTGTGTGTTATTATGCAATAAAATCACTGTTTGACTTTCTATATGTAAACATGTGACGTAATCATTATACACCTGACGTAACCACTAAAGATGTGACGCGCTGACAATAAGTACGGAAACAAATCAGGCACAATTTAGCTAATTACCATGTACGGCAGCATCTATTTGTTGATGTCGTGTTAGAATCGAAATAATATATCCAAATCGGTGATTTTATTGCTTGTCATTCGGATGCTGATCATTATATATAATTCCCTGCATCGGAACTCCAAACAGTGATGTTATTGAGCAATAAAATCACAGTTTGGGATATATTATTTCTTAAATAAAAGGTGTTTATGTGTAGATAATTAAGATAATATCGATGCCTTGGTGCGAAAGGGTTGTAACTCAATATTTTGAAATTATTCAGGAGAGACAAAAAACTTATTTATTCTTTTACATTCTTATAAATTCTTCTATAATTTTGCTTTTTGGCTTTAATTCAATTACTGATATATAATTGATTGGCAAGGTTATTTTATTTTGTCAGCATAAAGAGATAATTGATAAAGTTTCAGTTACAACCCTTTCGCACCAAAAAAATCAAAAATTTCAAGAAATGATTTGGTGCGAAATGGTTGTAACTTAATTTTTGCTTTAAATTCTGATAAATGTAATGGGTCAAATGGAAAGATTTAAGCTTAGTTGTGTAAGTATGTACTAATTTAACATATTGCCTGGATATTTCAGTGAAAAACCTTCAAATTATATGTTTTTAAAATATAATTTCAGTCAAATGACTTTTTTTTAAAGAAATTCACTTTATATATTTTTTTTTTTCTATGTGACACAAAGTTCAGATTGTCAAACCCATCATAAGTACCAAATATGCATTAACATTGTAAGTTTTTGCAAGAATCAAAGGTAAATTTTTCGCAATTCAAAATGTGAACTTACATAATGACAAAACCATCTAAGACACATTTATTTTTGTTAATATAAGCCTTTTGAAAATGAGAATACTCTATTTTCCACCTATTCTATACATAGGCTTTTCTTAATTTGAAAACTTAGATAATTCCTAGGATGTGCTTTTGTGCACAAATTCTATATATTTAAGCATTATCCAGGTGCTGGATCTTCTTTACTGTTAAGCCAAAAGTATGAGAAAGATGATAAATATTATAGATGTTCTAAGCTTCTAAGCTCATGCTATTCTTACAACTCTTCACAGTCCCAAATTTCATTGTTTATAATTATATAAATCAGTCCAGCCTGAATCAGTCAGTAATTAAATGAGAAAAAAATAAGGCCTGCAAATAATACCAATTACAAAATGCAATCCCCTGTGACCCCAATAAAATTCACAGGTGTGCACACAAACGCACATACAGCTGAGGAAGTGATTAATATCTTTATGAATGATTTTAAATAGCAGATAGAATATATCTGATA